GTAAGCTTCTCAGAAAATATGTTCAAAAAAAAAAAAATGATAATGCCGTTCAAAAGGATAGAAGAGAAGATAATGTAGTCTACCTCTTCTTTGGTATAATGGGGGAAATTGAATTGATTGCTTTCACTGACAGGACTCATGTCCCCATGAGATTGGCGGATTAAGGTAATAATGAAAACCAGTTAGGGGTCGACCAAGAAGTTAGGCTTTATATAGGAACCTGAGGGGATTCCGTGTTCTGTCTAACTTTCCTTCATTTCTGCCTTCTATGGCATTCAATTGTTTGGTCCCCACTTTGCAAGGTATCAAAAGCCATGATATCATTTGCCAAGGATTACCCACCAAGAATTCAATGCTATAATACCATGACGTTTTCACTTTTCTTCCCTTTAGCCTCTTTTTTTTTTTTTTTTGGCATATCCTAGCTTGCTTCAAAATTTAAAATTTCATGTAAATGATGGAATACTTGAAATCTTACATGTAATCTAAATTAGTTCTTTAGGGCATATTTGGAGTACATATCTTGTGCCATTATGTGTCATGTTAGGGGTGATAATAGAATGAAATAATTGCTATTTAATGTTTTGTCCTATCTTGAGTTCATAACATAAAAAGTATGCTACTTATCTTATGAGATTACTTAGGATAAGATGTGATTTTTCTTTTTTATCCTCATCTTCATCACAACTTCTTTGATTTTGTTTTTTTTATTCAAACATCAAAGATCATTTAAATAACTGAATCGAACATGGAATTCATTAGCATCAATCACAGATTCATAGGTCATGGTAACAGATTTCTTAAGCGTCGACGGTATTCTGCTTTCCTATTAAACTTACCTCCCCTTCTTCTGCTAGATGATCTCATGGCTTTTCTCATTGGCAAAATGCTTTGGACTTCACAAATCTAAGATAAGATGTCACCAGAGAAGATATGAACTTCACAGATCTTGATGTAAATGGACGATGGGATGAAAGAGGGCATTGGGGGTAACTGCCAACTGCTATTGATCTTAGTTCATCATTTGAATTTTTTTTTTTTTTCACCAAGTAATTCAATGGAGTCCCATTCTCTTTTCTTTTTTTTTTTTAAACTTTTTTGGTTATTTTCTTTGAATTTCTAAACCACACCAACTAATTTCTTATGTAGAATTTAGTATTGATTTCAACTGAAATTTGGGCATGACTAACATGAATATCAATTGGTTTTGTTACAGTAATTTTAGTATTTTAGTTGTTTGGTTTCCAAGATCACAAAGGAAAATTGATGATATTTAACTTGGAATTTTTAATGTTTTTGTTCGAGTAATTAATTACAATTTTTTTATTATTAATAAATTCTTAACTTAATCAGCACTAAATTAATTGTTTATTATAAACAGTAAATTAATTATTGTAAAACAAATTAAATAAGAATAACATGGAAAATAATTATAGTACTTTTAATTAAAAGGCATTTTAATCTATACAAGTGAATATTTGTATTTAATCCCACTTTATAAAATATTTAAACAAACATTTCATTTGATTCAAATATATATTTTATCCTATATAATCCGATTCAACCCTATCTTTTGAATCATACCTAAACCAATTCATTCTTGAGTTCCAAACGTGCTCTTAAGGTCTCTTTTACATGACTAAACAACCAAAGTAATTTGCAAGACAAATTTGATTCCATGTGGGCATGTCAAAGGTCGATTGATTTTCTTATTTTACCTTTATAAATTTAAAAAAGAAAAAAACAAACTTAAAACCAACATTAAAAAAAAAAAAAAACAAACGAATTTTCACCCAGTTAGACCAAGAGATCAGGTGAACAATCGCTTCCCTTTTGCTCTAACCAAGAAACTCATATTGAATTTATGTGTTTATATGCAATATAAATTAAGAATGTAATAAATATACTATTTTATAATTAATTTATATAAAAACTTTTAACAGTTGATTTTTATTTTAAAATTATTAATATGTGAATAATTTTAATTAATTAATTGATTAAATTAAAACTAACATTTACATTTTTTATATAAATTAAGGGTTTTTTTAATCTATATACTTAAATATATTCTTTTGTTATAAATGCATATAAAAAAATAAAAATAATAAAAAAAAAGCCTACATTAATTTTAGTATTGGTATTAATTGATTAAATTAAAACTAACATTTACATTTTTTATATAAATTAAGGGTTTTTTTAATCTATATACTTAAATATATTCTTTTGTTATAAATGCATATAAAAAAATAAAAATAATAAAAAAAAAGCCTACATTAATTTTAGTATTGGTATCAAGTGGATGAATTTAATTGAATAATTGATAAATTAAAAGTTAACTTTTATTTTTTCAATATAAATATATGATTAAAAAGTATATATATTTATTATATTTTTAATACACGCCATAAGACACTTATTAAAAAATTTTATAAATTAAATTATAATATGATACATTAATTATATTTTTAACATATACTATAAAAGCACATTTTAAAAAACATTAATTTTATAAGGAATCCAAAGTGTCTCCACTTGATGACATTCAATAATTGCCCTATAACACAATGACACAACCTTCAAAAATCCATCAATCCTAGCACTAAAGATGTAACCAAAATGAGAATTATCTAACCACATTGTTCGGAAATGGTTGTTTTTTTCTTGAGTCTATGAAGGGGCCTATCCTACTTTTGGCCATGCATTCATAGTACCACTCAATTGTCTAACCATGTGCCATAATGCATAAGAACTTTGAATATGTCTTCCATATGCTATAAGAATTTTGTTCTATCAAAGGACAATAATACTTGAGTGATTATTTAACCTAGCTAGATCAGCTAGACCATTTAAATATTCAATAATTTTCCCAAGTATACTTCATCAGTTTAGTTTCTGGCGAGAAGCCTTCAGTTTAGTTGGTACTTAACATATACCCTCTTAAAATTCTAGATTCTAAGATTAAAATCAAAGATTTCAACATCTAATTTAATTAGATGTACACTTTCCATATTACCCAAAAAAAGAAAAAGAAAAAGAAAAAGCATGTACATTTTCTACAAGCACAATCGAACAAAAAAAATAAAGGCTCATTGAGTGGGCTAGTAACTCAATTGTTAAGGAGCAAGGACGCAAGGAGTAATCGCGCAACATGCATGTTTCTCATTCTTGAGAGATGAGTTCGAACAATATAAACTTGAATCATCTCCTTAAGAAAATGTTGCCCTTTCTTTTTTTCTTTTTTTTTTTTTCCTTTTTGGTTTAAACAAACGTTGCCATTTATCTGCGTACGAGGTAGTGAAAATACTAAAGTTTGTTGGGGGAATCAACCAATACAATGGGAGTGCACGCATGAGTAAGGTAGAACACATTTGAGGAGACAATATTTTGAACATAAAAGAGGTGCCTATAAATTTATAGATCTCTACAAGTAAGATTAACATCCCTTAATAAATGTTGCCATTTCTTCTTTTCTTTTCCTTTTTTTTTTCTTCCCCTTTTTTGGTTTAAACGTTGCCATTTATTTATGAGATGTTGAAAATACTAAAGTTAATTTGTTGGGGGAATCAATCAGTCCAAGGGGAGTACACGCATGAGCTTGGTAGAAGTGTTTGGTATGGAAAAAAAATTGTTTCCCTTTACCTAGGAAAGTTAAGAAGCATTTT